GCTAAAAGCACATTTTTAAAGAATCCTTTTGCATTTTTAGAGCAAATCCCAAGTCTGATTCAACAGACCTAAAATCCCATGTCTGAAATGTGGCCTCAGGGGAAACTGAGCTGTGCTGTCAGCCCCAAGAGCACCAAGGCCATGGTGGCCACCAGCCCAGCGCTGCACTGGACACAAACCACACCTCACCAAAGAGGTGCCTCAGGAAGTTGTCCCTTTGGTTGTCTGCTTTCCCCACCAGCAGCTTGAACCCCCAAGAGCCAAGTGGGGACAAGAGCTGTGCCAAATAAAGCACCTTCCGAGTGGGAGCGCGCAGCCGAGCCCCAGCAGCGTGGGCTGCCCCAGCCCCGGCTCTCAGCTGTCACACTCAGGCCACGCTGATAAAGCCCTGCTCTGCCTGCCCTTATTTAGTCAGGAGCCTCTGCTGACTCCAGCGATTTTGGGACGTCATTTGCACCACACAGCCGCGTTCCCCAAGGAGACGCTCGCTGCTGCCCGGCCACGCAGCCTGGAAATGCTGAGCGCAGGGAGACAGCGGCGACGCTGCTGGGAATGCAGCCAGGCACAAGGGGCTTGGAAAGTGATACAGGAGCTGTCAAGTGCTCTTGTTATTTGAAGGGAGAGCTAAGATGTGCCCCAAAGTCATGGGTATGGATAGAAAACCAACTTAGGCTTCAAAACCAGGCAACAGCACACACTGAGCAATGCCCATGTGTTGGTGGCAGGGAAGCCACATCAGTGTAATGCCTGGCACTGGAACTCTGTTGTGCTTTCACAGAGCCCAGGCTCACCCTAATGAGCAAGCCCCACTGAATCAGGAATTGATGCCACACACTTCAGAACACAGTCTAGAAATTCCTGCAGGTATCTACTGATAGTAGATTAAAACAAAAATAAATCCAAAATGTATTCAAACGTAGTTGTACTCTCCAGGTATAAACCACACAGGGGCCACAGGGCCAGCACACGAGGACAAACTGGTAAAGCACAGCAGCCATTATAGCCTCAAATATCTTGCTTCCCTATTGATCCTGTGACATCCAGCAGATGTATCTGAGGTGTTCCTGCCAGGACATACACCCTTCAAAGTATCTCAGAGCTTGGCCAGACCCGTGCCTTGCAGGACACATGGCCAAGTCCCTCCATTGAGTTTGGTCCAAGTCACTGGGAAGCACAACCATGTGCAGAACAGGCCATGTCAGATACTGCTGCAGTGGGACAGACATGGGATAAGTGAGTATTTACACTCATTTTGTCCTTAGAAAGCAACAGAAAGAAGGAAAACCCCTGTAAAACCTGCCCAGCTACGGAGCACACAGGCTTCAAAAAATCAAAGGTTCCCCCTGCAGACAGTCCTGCCCTTCCTCTTATTATTTTATTTTATTTTATTTTATTTTATTTTATTTTATTTTATTTTATTTTATTTTATTTTATTTTATTTTATTTTATTTTATTTTATTTTATTTTTATTTTATTTTATTTTTATTTTATTTCATTTCATTTTATTTTATTTTATTTCATTTCATTTCATTTCATTTCATTTCATTTCATATCTGTTCTGAAGAGATGAAAGCTGACCATTTTCATGCTTCTTCTCCCTGTATTCTGTGGGACCCTCCTTCCCATTTGACAGGCAAACACATGCTGCTCCCCAGGCCCAAGGAACATCAAGTACCCGGGCTACAAAGCACCCTATTCTGTACCAGCCCATGTGCCCAGAAAGCTGCAGGGCAGCTGTTTCACAACTTAGCACGGCTTTGAACCAGCTCACTCATGGACTGGTGGCACTTGTCCCCTCCTCACAGCCTTCCAGCCAGTTTGTCTACTTCAGCTCCTGGTAGGTGAAGCCCCAGCTTCACCTCCCAGTGCTTCCCATCCACCCCAAGCTTTTTTCAAAGGAGTCCCCAGTCAGGCTGGAGGGTGGGAAAGGGGAGGTTGGAGGGACACAGCAGGTGCCTTCACCTGGCACTGCAGGAACAGCCGTGTCCCAGCTCTGCCAGGAGTGCCTTGGGATCACAGCAGGACGAGTCCTGGAGCAGCAGCAGAACAGGGCAGGGCTAATGAGCAGCACATGGTGTGTGTTAAGGGTGCCTCCCTGGGCAGGAGTAAAGCCATGTAATGCCACAGAGGCTGCATTCCAGGATGAATTTTCTCCCGAGTGAGAGCAGCCTGGGTGAGGATTCGCACTCCAGCTTCCATCAACTCCATCCCTCTAGGAGGACATGCCCAGGGTTTTTACCCAGCGTCTGAGCAGCACCAGTGAGCTTTGCACGGGATGAAGCCTGGATGGGCAGCTCAGGACAGCATGACCCCATGCCAAATGATTTTCACTGAAATAAGGAAAAATGACACTGACACTGAGATGATGTCCTCAGCTTCTTGCACAACTGGGAAAGCAGCTGGATTTCCAACCCAGGAGGATTCAGGAGGAAGCGGAGGTGGCCAGGGCAGTGCTGCTGGGGCAGCAGAGGCAGTAGGACAGGCGGTAACAGGCTCTGCCCACAGCCCGGGCCAGAACACCCAAAGTGAAATAGCAGGTGGGACAGGAGCTGTGGAGCAGCCCGGTGCCTCAGACACCCTCGGAGCAGAGCATGGCACAGGGGAGATTTGGTGACTGCACTGCCCATTGTCCCTGGCTGTCTCTGCTCTCCTGTCCAACTCTCACAGACAGGGCACCCCTGAGTGCTGCTGACAGCCCCCAGCCGTGCACCCCAGAGCTCGGCATGTGCCTGGCATTCCTGCAGTGCAACTGGCCAAGGCAGCTTCCAGTGCTTGGGCTTGTTTTCCTCGGAATTTCTATCCCTTAAGAGCCTTTTATGGTGCAAAAGGGAGAAATCTGGCCTTCTCCTGGCATTTCACCCCCAAACAGCAGGAGGCTGGATATTATGGCAGTTTATCTCTGCAAGGGGCTCCCCCCAAGTGCCACAAGCAAATGAAACTCAAACATCCACGTACAACAGCACAGGTGTGCAGAGGCAGCTGGGAATTTGCACAGCCCACCTGCTGTGTCCTGATAATTAGTGCATAGTAATAATCTTACATACAGAAATGTCACATCTCCCCCCAGGAAAGGATGGGTGTAGCCTCAAAGGCATTTTTTTTAGGGTAAGAGACACACTGCCATCGGAGGAGAAAGGTAAATGCTCCACCTCACAGTTATGAGCTCAGGCAATGCTAATGACAGTGCAGCCCTTCTGTAAACAGTAGTAATCCATTTTCACAATCTGTCTGCAATTACTCTGCCCTGGGTGTGGAAACTGAGGCAAGGTTCAAGGCCAAAACAAAAGTTAATGGCAGAGCTGGGGTTTAAACTAAGGACCTTTTCCAGTAAAAAATATATAGATTTACTCTCTATCCCAAATCTGAGGTGAAAGGAGGAGGGAGGAGAGCACTAGTTGGATTTACAAAAGGCATGAGGTAGAGAGAGCAGCTCTGCCCTGAGCAAGATACACCAGGAATAAACACTGATGGAAACACTGAGTTATAGTTTGAAGGACAGGCAGCCTGGATTCCCCTCTCCCAGCGGGTCCAGCTCAGCTGGAAGCTGCAGGAACAGGGCTGGGGTTCCACACTGCCAGCGAGCACAATCCCTTCTCTGCCCAGCAGCCACACCACTGCAGGATCTGCTAGCTGAGGACTCCCTGGAGGAAACCAGCTTCCACGTCTTATTTCCTCCAGCTCCAAGGCTTCCTTAATAGGAAATTATTCCCGGCTGCACTGGGGAGGGATGCAGTCCCCCGCCAGGGCAGCGGGCACATTCCAGCCCCTGACTGAAAACACGGCAGAGCCGCTTTTGATCCAAAGTGTAAATAGTGTATAATAAAAAGAGGTTTGTGTAAACCAGCCAAACTCTTTGGGAGCAGTGTTTGCAGCTCCAGCCTCCTTATTCACGCCGTGGCCACACGCTTTCCCTGGGCACTGCAAAGCTGGTGTCGGGCTGAGCCTGCTCTGCCAGAAGGATCCAGGGCCCCAGCCTGTTATTTTTATCCCAGCTGGCCCTGAATGGAACTTCACTTGCAATCCTGCTGGGTTTTCTCCCCCAGTCCCTGAGGGAACCTGCTGGGTTTCGTTAAATAAAATCAACCGTACTCCTCACAAAAGTTGGAAGAAATGGTTGCCAGAAGAGTGAAATGGGAGTTTCTCCAAGGAGTGGAATGGGGTTTGGGAATAGGTGTCCTCCTTGCTTATTTCCCTCCTCTGGTTGATAATGAAGTAAGTGATAATTAAACAGGAATTAAAAGGAGTGAGACAGGACAGCCATGGAGTCACAGCCACTGCCCAGCAGCTGAGCAAAGCCTGTGCAGAGTGAGGTTTTCTTGGTGAGGTCAGGTGAAACCTCAAGAACTGTTACAACCCCTTTTCCCTAAGGAAGAGGAGAGGAGTGAAGGCTCCAGCCTTGTCTCCCAGATCTCTGTTCTCTGCCAAGCTGGCTCTGAGACCGGCAGGAATGCTGCAGGAGAAGCATGCTGCCAACACAGCTTGGACACAGGCAGGGATGTGAGCTGGAGGAGGAGAATTTCCCCTGCCTTTTCCAGGCAGACCCTGAAGCCACTCATTTCCTCTCTCCTCCATCCCAGGAGGGACACTGGAGCAATTACACTCAGCTGCTAAAATTGACAACCCTAATGCATCCCACAAATTTCCCTCAGAGGAAGCCCCCACACTGGGGGCTCCAGGGCTAAATTGTGTTCTGCTGCAGCCCCAGTTTGTCTGGGACACATCTGGCTGCTCATGAGCCTGTTGGATTTATCACCATCAAACCCTCTGTTCCTCATGCTGCCCCATCGATGCCCAGTGGCTCTGACAGCCTGGCACAGCATCAGGATGCTCCCCATCCTGCTGAGTGCCAGGGCTGGTAACAATTCCTGCTGTCCAGCACCTCCCCTCTGGGCCAGGGCTGCAGGGGGACAGGAGAGGGGATGATGAAAAGGACAGCTCCCTAAACATGGGATGGGGACCATCACCACGGGAACCCGCGTGCTGGAGCTCCAAGCACCCACCTGGATGCCGCAATCTCTGACTTCTGCCGGGCGATGGCCGCGGCCCTCTGAGCCCCCTCCACGCTCCTGTCCACCTTCTGCCGGATCTTGGCGCTCTTGAGGGGTATCACCCGCTTCTTCATGCCCTTGACCAGGACATTGTGGCGGTACTTGCCCTCCTCCTTCTTGCCGTCGGGCAGCGTGGTGCAGCCGTAGCCGTGCCGCAGGTTGTCCAGCCATTCCCCTTCATACTTGAGCCCACTGGAGCGCTCGCTGACGCCGAAGCCAGCGCGTTTGTCGTTCTTCCACTCGCCCATGTAGGTCTCCGTGGTGGTGGCGTCGATGTCGGACTCGAAGGGAGTGTATTCCTCGCCCTCGGCGCCCTCGCCCAGGCTGACGGTGGAGGTGGCATCGCTGGCAGCCGAGCTGATCCCGCTCTCGCTCTTGAGGAAGCTGACGCGGCTCTTCTGGCTGGCCAGGGATGACTTGGACTCGGACTTCTTCAGCTTGCCCAGCAAGGATCCCCTGCGGAAGAGCCCCCCTTTCTTGGGCTTGCCGGCCTCCGCGTCCGCGTAGAGGCTGAGGGCGAAGCCCCCGCGGGTGATGGTGGGCGAGAGCGGCAGGCTGTCGGGGCTGGCGGCGGGCGAGTCCTGCTGCGGCAGGGTACCATTGCTGTGCTCGCTGCGCAGGGAGGACAGCGATGTGCGCAGAGGGGAGCGCACCACCGAGGCCATGCCGTAGGGAACGCTCTGCCGCACGCCGTAGCCGTGCCGCATGCCGTTGGTGAACTGGCCCTGGTAGGTGCCTGGGGGAGACAAGATGGGCAGCGTGAAAAAAGCGCCTTGGCCCTGGGAGAGCGAAGGGAGGTGAGCCGTGGGGTCGCACCCATGCTAAGTCACCCGCGTGCAAAAGCATCGTCGCCTAGGGGAGCGGAGAACACCAGCCCCAGAGCCCCTGGTGCCTCGTGAGAAGGGACCGAGGCACCAGGGGACGCTTTGCAAACTCAAAGCCGCTTACTGTACGGGATCTGGGTTTTCATCTGGAGAAGGGAGCGGAAGGCAGCCCCCAGGGGTGGAGTGGTGGCAGTGGGCATGTGAGCTGTGGTGGCGCATCTCTCTTTGGCTTGGTGACAGTCCCTTCCAGCCTGTTCTGTGGTCTGTCACCTGCAGGCTGCCAGGGCCAGCTCTAGACCCCTGAGTCAGGATCCCACATGTCCACTGACTGCCCTGAAGCCACATCTCCTTAGCAGTGACATATGGCTTCTCTGAGTTCCCAAGATCAAGGCTTGTGCCACACTGCACAAAGCAGGAGATGGGCAAAAAAGGGAGGAGAGAAGCAGCTCTTTGTGGGGTTCCTTCAGCTCTGCCCCAGAAAACACCACCCCACCACACTCCTCCAGACCCAGCTCAAGAGGGCAGATGGTGCCATATGATGGGAGACAGAGAACCATGGCCAGGGCTGCACCGTGGGTACAGGACCCTGCTAAGAACCAGCAGGACTTTGGCAGTGACACCTTGAAGGCTGGGACACTGCTCCTCTCCAGACCCCCTGATCCCAAAGGTGAGCACATTTGCAGGCTCCAGCAGAGTGGAGATCCCCACTCTGACTTTTCTCACCATGATATAAAGAGACTTAAATTAGCTGCAGGAGAGGCCCCACAAGAAGAGCTCTTGGGAAGTGCAGGGTGGGGCAGCAGGCAGCCTTCACCCACAGCACCCACCATACCAGCACAGGGAAGATCAGAGCATCCCTGAGCCCTGTGGATTGGGATGGGATGAGCCTGGGATGAGCCATCTTCCCAGCCTGGCTCTCATCAGCCTATAGATGTGGTTGCCTCAGAAACCAGCAAACCACCCAAAACAAAGGCAGCACTCTGCTCTGCTCCTGGCATTACAGGAGCTGGAATGGGCCACCCCAGAGCAGCACCCTGTGGAACAGAGGCTGCCAGCAGCTCCCTCAGCCTGGGGCACAGGCAGAGGATGATGGGGGAGCACGAACACCTTTGGAAAGGCCGCTCTATTCTCCCAGGTGCTGCTTCACGTGAGTGAAGGGTCAGCCATGCTGGGGGGTTTTCACAGACATCTATCCTAAACCTGGCTTGCAAAAAGCAGTGACCTATCAGGAGACACATGATTTTGGGGAGAGCAGGCACTCCCACGGTCCTGGGGAGGCTCAGCCAGGGCTGGGCTGAGATGGAAGGGGGTGACCCATCTTCAAGGCATTAATCTCCCCCCTCAGACACTATTACTGAGCCCAGGGATGACCCTGCTCCCCAAGGAGCAAATCCAGTTCCTTCTTTGGCGATCGTGGGAGTGCATATTTTACAGTCTCCCAGGCCATTTCTGCAGCATAATCTCTCCTCCCAAGCTTCAGGTTTCGTTGAAATCCTCTTTGGACCTGCCTGTGGAGTGTTAACTTACAGTGCTGAGGGCCAGGAAAGACAAGAAGTGCCCGAGTGGCAGCAGCTGCTCCCTGGGTGAGCTGCCCCCGGCCAGCCCCTGCCCACCCTGTGACACAGGGGATTATGTATGGGGTCCCTGTAAACACTTGGTCTCTCCTACAAAAACAGGCTTCAGGTAGTACATGGCATCTGCAAACTGCAGCCAGCCACAGGGAGCCATCTGCCAGAGCAAGGGGACATTTTCCATTTTCTTGGATGAGTTTGAAGCTCTTCTAGGGAAAAATAAGGAAAAATAAGCATGGGTTTGGGCACGAGTCAGGAGTCAAGGACCATCACTGGAGATCCCAGGCATCTGGGCATGTTCCTCACCATGCTCCCAAATCCCTCTCCATAAAATGGTGATGAGACTTCCTTCCAAAGTGAAGTCATAGAGACCCCCCAGTGCCCCCATGTCGCTCCCTGCTGAGGTCAGTGCTCCATCCCACCCGCCCAGCCAGCGAGCAGGGCTGACACATGATCAGGGTGACACTGGAGACCTTCTCCTGGGATGGGAACAACTTCACACGTATCAGGCTGCAGCTGGTAATGCCGCCATGTTAATTCCCTGGAAAAGGAACTCTGGAAAAGCCTTGCAGGTTAAGGGGGTTCAGCCACTCCTCAGGGGTCAGGTCAGAGCAGCTGCTGCACTCCAGCAAAGCCCCGGCCCCCTCTGTCCCCCTCAACAGCACCAGAGCCAGCTGGGTGGGAAAAGCCACATGGCACAATGGGTCTCCAGGGAGCAGGGATGGAGTGCCAGCCTCAGCACAGGCTTCAACACCAGCTCTGCAGGCTGCTCTCAGCTCCCTGATTTCAGCCCAAACAGCACAAGCAACCTCATCCCTGTGACCAGAGCTGCCAACCCTGCCTGGATGAACGGAGGGCACCGACAGTGCTGCCCACGGCTGCCCAGCCAAGGCACTGTCCCCGTCATGCTGCCATTCCCTGCCCGGCTGAGGCTCCGTGCCAGGAGCCATAAAGCAGCCCTGGAGCGGAGCCAGAGGCTGCAGGGAGCGGCTGGAGGCGCTGGGGGCCGTGTGTCAGGGCATGCAAGGTTTGAGCAGAGCCAAGCCCTGCCTCACCAACACAGCCCAGTGCAGCCAGGTCAACAGAAAATGGGGCTGTGCAAAATCTCTCTGCAGCAGGGCTGCACGTGCCCCAGCCACCACCACACCCCAGTGCCAACCCAGCCTGGGCAAGGCACAGAGCTGTCAGCCAGACTGCCAGGAGCTCACACACACCTGAGGTTCTGCGAAAAGTAATTAAAAAGCATGGACCTGGAACAAATAAATCTCTGTTTATAGGAAGCCCACTTCCCTGCCTTCCAAGCCCTGGTGATTCATCAGGGCAGTGGGACAGAGACACCTCATCTCATCAGGGTGTGATTAGTGGGGGACACAGCCCCAGTAATCCTTTATTGGCTGCATTTTTACTTGTCCTAATGACAAAAACCACTGGCTCCTCTGCAACCCCCAGGAATACAATTCATTCCAGCACAGCCCCAGCAGGGGGATGCTGCCTGGTTAACTTCATAGGACAGGAAGGATTGTGGATTGTCAGTTGTAGGATTGATGGGAATGACATCCCTGCAGCCTTCAGCTCCAAACACTCAAAGGGGTGGGAGCACCCTCTGCTTCACCCCAGCAGCAGGATGGGATGGTGCATGGCTGCATCCAATGCAAAACTTTCAGCTCCCAGTGCTCTCCAGCACAGCAGCAAGATCCCATCACCAGCAGTGACACACTTCCCCTTCCCAGCCTGTCTCAAGGCTCCCATATAATTAGTGATGAATGTAAATAATACAAACAACCATGTAAATAATGCAGACAGCTCAAATCACATCCCTGCCCTACAGTCCCCTGCTGTCACCCAGATACTGCGATGACAGGCAGGTTAGAACTCAGTGTAAGTGGCCAGAGGCATTTAAATGGTGCACAGCACCATGTGCAGGACAGGCCAGCAAAAACAGAGTGCTGCCTTTTGGTGCCAGCAGTAGTGTCTGATGGGTTCTGCTGGAAAAGAAAGGCACAGAAAACCACATAGAGGGGTAAAAAAATTCACTATATTCATTCATGGGTCACACTCGGCCAGGCAGGAGCTTTGCTACAGAGGCAGCAGACAAAAAGCCAGCACAATTGTGGCTCTCCCAGGCCCCTTTCCTCATTTCCCAGCCAAAATCCCATGGATGCTGCTCCTTCTGCCCCAGTCCAGGCCCCTTTCCACTCTGCTTGCCCTGCCACAGGGAGGAGTTGTGCTGCTCCATATCATCCATTTCATCTCCTCAGTAAAGCACTTCTGCATTTAATTTCTCCTCTTCTGTGAGCACTGACTGGTCTAATTGTTTTCCTGTGGTTAATTGACACCACTGTTTTCCTTAGCACCCTAAAGAACAAATTGTAGTATCAAAAATAAACTTGTTTTAGGCCACTTTGATTGCAAGTGAGGTTTTTTTCCCCCCCCATATAGATACATACAAGTTATTTGTACAGCAAAGACAGGCTTTGGGCTGGATCATGGGTATACAGCACAACTCACCATTAGCACTGAGATTTTCTTCTGCAGTAAAACTTGACTCATGGTTTTGACTCACAGTCAAATGCACAAAAGTATCCAAAAAATGAGGCCTTCCCTACAGCATGGACAAAACTCACTGGGCAAAGGCAAATAATTACATGTTTACTCATAGCTTACGTTGCAGAACAATGAGTTCCTTCATGCTATGCCTTCCACAGCCTCACTCACTGTCTGCTTCAGCCAGAGCATTCTGCCCCTCTAAAGGGCTCTGAGCTCTTCCCTGGTGGCAGCAGCACACACCAGTATATCCAGCTTGGATACACAAAGAGATATGTCAGAATGTCACTGTATCTGCCCAGCCACAAACAAAGCTCTGAGCCCTTTGGCTGATTTCAATCCATGTTACAGAAGTCTCCTTAAAGCTGTCAGTCTCCCATAGCTTTCACTAATGTAGGCTTTTGGTAGTGGGGAGACAAACAAATAATCCACATAGTGCCTGGGCTAAACTGTGCCATGACCCTGGTTCTTATTAGACACCAAAAATCTAAATGGGATTTCAAAAAGTTTCACTCCAGATTTGGGCTTTTTTTTAGCCACCAATCTTGGCCAGACACAAGATTCAAACATGGACAACTCTATAATTATATTTTAAGTGTATTTTGAAATGTAAATTTTTATGTATGTCTATATATATATATGTATATATAAAAAGTTAAAATCTATTTTAAAACATCAGAATCAGCTACATTTCCCTGAAATCTGAAAGCAGTCCAACCATGACCTAAAGTTTCTGACGACCTGGCAAGGGCTGCACATTCCCAGAGCCCTTTTCCTCGTGTGGCTGGCTTCCAAGGGGCTTGGGAATTGTGTCCCCTACTCAAGGGACAGCAGATATCCAAAGCCTTTCCACATGTTTATCTTGGCAACCCCAGATTCAAACATTAACAGGTCCCATTAGCAGTCTGGCCACATCTGGATCTTGCAGGTGGTTATTCTGTGCAGGTGAGGAGACAAAACAGGAAAAGTTCCTGCAGGTCACCCCTGTCCTTCGGATGTGATGCTGGATGGTGACCCCTGGCTTTGACTGCAGTTTTCATGTTCCTGTGCCATCAGTGAAGCTCATGTGTTGAATGAACAGCTCAGATCAGCCAGGGTGTGATGACCCAACACATGGAGCAGCCACTGGGCACCCCAGCACAACCCTCGTGAGCCTTGTGGGGCTGAGCTCAGGGTTTTGGCAGGGCACATCTTCACAGATCAGGGCTGAACTGCCAGCCTCGAGTGGCACCAGGGATCACACAGCTGGCACGTTCTTGGGTGAGGGTCAACACCCCGGGGAGCGCTGTGCTGACAGAAGCAGGATATTCTATATCCTTACAGGAGAAAGCACTGGCTCATCTTTCCCTCTCTTCTGTCCCAAGCTTTCAGTCCCATATCTAATCAAACCCCTCTGACAAGTCTTACCACTCAAAATTCTCCCCTAGAACATTAACTGCAATTCCAGTAGCCCTTCACCCTTAGAAGGATTTGCATTTTAGGAAGCAGCAAGGAAGCCACCGTGCAAATTCAAAGGAGACCTTGACATCTCCAGAATGAAATTCCCAATAGCAGCTGTTGCTGACAGTGACCTGATTGCTGCTCTCTACTCATCAGAGAACACCTTCCCTGTCACCTACTTGTCTTCTGGCCTCACATGAGGTTCTGTGCATGCAACCTGCACCCATTAAACCATTCCATGGCCGCAGGACAGAAAGGGGGAAAAATTTAAGGAGTTGGAGGGATGTGTCAGTTTTTGTCTGTACAATATCCAAGGGCACAAGGAAAATGGGTCAACTTAAAGACTGTATTCTCAGTCTTAAAGTTATCCACAAACCCACACAATTTATTGAGAAATATTTATGAAAAATATAGCCCTGAAAGCCAGTCTCGATTTAGTCCATTTTGCTAATGCCTAAAAATGTGATGCTTTTCATTCTGAAGGTTTATATTATAGTTATTTTGCTTTATAAACTAACTCCAATGTCTGTCTTAGATAAATATAGATGCAATTTTGATCCATATTTTGAAGGGTATTTCTTTCAAATCACACTCTCTATTTAGCTATCCTAAATGTGGCAGCCCCAGAACATTACAGTGCTGAAGAGCTACAAAATTATTTGCACATAAATTCTTGCAATGTTTCTAACCCCAGAATTGCCACTAATGCAAGAACACAATTAGACCAAGCATTTACAGAGCACAACAAATATCTGACTACATGGTGCAGTTGTATAGTAGCAGAGGTTGAAACCTCTGTCCAAATAACCAAAGGGATTTATTTTGGGGAAAGGCATGTGGCTACATATTCTAAACAGCTTAGATGGACTCAATCAAAACTCTTTGGCAAAGCAGATGTGCAGGCGGTCTGTCAGAGGCATGCAGGCAGTGTTTGATGCACAGGGAAAGCGTGCTGGGATGCTGTGGGTGGTTTATATCCGACACAAGAACATTCACCGCTCGCTGCCTGGTGAGAGAGCGCACGGCTCGCTGTGGCCGTGCACCAGCTGCGACTTTTTGGCTTGGTTCAGCCAGAAGTTGCAATAACCAGCCCAGGAGTCAAAGACTACACAAATCAAGTTGGTTGGTGTGAGCTACAAATAGAGACACTCTATTCCTCCCTCGTGTCTGCAGTCAGTGAGCTGCACGTGCTGCGCCCAGCTGGGAAAATCGGGGCACGCACACATTGATGGGAAGGTTGCACCCCAAGCTCCCCTTCTTGACTGAAGCAGCCCAATGGCTCATTGTAGAGCACTGTGCCTGTCTAGATCTCACTAGTGGGGACAGGACCAGGTCACCCCTTCAGCAGGGACACCATGAAACCTCTGTTGTCACAGGCTGGGAGTGACACTGCTCATCCCCCTCTCATTCCCTCTGGAGCCACCCTTACCTCCATCGGCGTAGGTCTCGGTGCCGTAGCCATCCTGCAGGCCATTGTTCCATGTACCCTCGTACTTGGCTCCGCTGCTCATGCTCTGCCTCGCGCCGTACCGTCCCTTAAAGCCATGGGTCCACTCGCCTCTGTAAACCCACCGTCCTTTGGTCTCGATTCCCAGGCCGTGCCTCTTGCCTTGGGACCAGTAGCCTTCGTAGGTGTTGCCGCTGGGCCACGTGTATATGCCCACCACCTCGAAGCCGTAGTTCCAGGAGCCCGAGTACTCGCCCTGGCCCTTGGGGCCGGTGCAGATGCCGTGCCCGTGGGCTTTGCCCCCCTCCCAGCCCCCGCAATAGGCGCCTCCATCATCGAAATCAAACCTGCCGCCGCTCATGGTGCCCTCCGGTGCCCCTCAGCCGGGCTGCGTTCCCAGGGGCAGCGCTCCGGGGCTCCCGCATCCCCGGAGGGAACGGGCTGGGCGCCGAGA